ATATATATACATATATATATATATATATATATATATATATATATATATATATATATATATATATATATATATATATATATATATATATATATATATATATATAAATGATGAGGATATATATATATATATATATATATATATATATATATGTAATATATATATATATATATATATATATATATATACATTAATATATATATATATATATTATGTATATATATATATATATATATATATATATATATATATATATATATATATATATATATATATATATATATATATATATATATATATATATATATACATATATATATATATATATATATATATATATATATATATATATATATATATATATATATATATATATATATTATATATATATATATATATATATATAATATATATTTGGTTTCGTTGGTTATAAAAACTTTTGGTAAAGTGCTCAATTGAAAACCAGAACATATTTATATTAAGGTACAACAATCAACAAAATCTACTAGGCATCTTTATTACTAAATAGTTTCGTGGCACTCTTCAGAAATGTGGCACTCTTCAGATAAATTGACCTAATGACTATAGATGACTAAAACTTACAAGGTTATCGTATTTGCTAAGTTCAGTAGCGTTCCGTTTGTCGAAAGAGTTGAATGATGCTTTATGGTTTGCAAGTCTTGTTTTAAACGAGTTCTCTGTAAGTCCGACATATGTTTGGGGAGGTCTATTTGTAGTTTTGTCCTTAATAGTGACTGTGGCTTGATATACAACCGATTCAGTGATACATTTGTTAGATAGTGGGCACAGTTCTTTATTGTTTTTAGGCCAACTACACATGTTAAGGGTACTGGTGCTGGAAATTGTAGACAATTAACGTGGATTTGTTGTATGTATATATATATATATATATACAGGGTGTATCAAAAAAAGCGCAATCCTCGACTGAAATGTAAATTGCTAAACAAATAATAGACGAAAACGTTAAAGTTTACATTCATTTTAAAGCGTAGCCATTCAGCTTTCTAACAGTGGGTTGTTTTTTAAATTTGACTCATTGGTTCGCGGGTAATAATACTTTACGTTATTGCGATTGGAGATTAAAAAAATTGAGATGGAATAACAAATCGTTCTCATAAAAATAACTGATTTTTTCATTAAAACAAAAAAATGTTGCATTTTATTAAATGGATTGTAACAATAAGTATAATTATGGCTTTTCTTCCACTATTTTTAACTGAGTTTGAAACTTCAAATGCGATATAATTTTGCCTTGGACCATCTAAGCTGACTGACATCAACTTGCTATAATTTCTGTTTACATGCATTACATCGCAATTCGATGACATTCTGGCTCAGACACCAGAATGTTTTGACGATTTTTAGCATTCGTTTAGGATTTTCACCTGGTCTCTTTTAAAATACTTTTAATTTGTTCTTACGTGGTTTTCCAGATGTAGTGACGACAACATTAAAGTTTAAAGAAGAAAATTCTAACATTTAAACCGACTAAACAATAACATAGTAAACTTGCATAATTAAACAGCAACTAAAAATGATAGGTTTACTAAATCTTTTCCTGTGCAATTATTACTAGCATTGGAGACAAGGATAATAGTTTGTTTGAAAGAGAAAAGAACAGGCTTTGAAGTAAGCCTAAAAGCGTTTAACTAGAAATAGTATTTCGAAAGTTATTAAGCACAAAAGATGAATTGCGTTTATTTTGATACACCCTGTATATACACCCGGGTGTCCCAAAAAAAAGTACTCCTGTTTGATTCGTAATAACTTCTAAACAAGTAGAGCTTTTAAAGAGAAATAACTTGCATTAAGTAGAGGAAGGACTAACTTAGATTTTGATATATTACAGTTGTATTTTACTTAAAAAGTCACGGAGATATCAATGTTCAAAATCGGGAGCATATTTTGGGATGTGTCTAAAATTAGCGAAAATCGGCATATCAAATATTAATTCCAGCGTTTGTTTGCTTAATGACATATCCGGCTAACTTGTATTTCGTTAGGGTTTGTAAGGGATATGGCATATAGATTTAGACATCTTACATGTAAGTCTTAGCTCATTGTTTCCTGAAATATGAACTTCGAAATTATGCAAGTATTTAATAGGTCTTTACAAACTTAAAGGTACATGAAAGACGATGGAAGGCAGGCGCTTAAATATTTCTTAAATAGCATAATTTTTTTATGTTTTTAATGGGTTCAAACAGACTGAGTTGATTATTTCTCGATTAGAGCAGGATGAATATTATTCTTTATTGAAAGAAGTAATATTGCTTTTTGCAAATACGCATCACCGCGTATCAATGCTACTATTTTGTTACGTTTTATTCCAAAAATGATGCATGTCTCTGGGGAGTTGCTTAATTGTTATAATGTCTTATGAAGTTGTATGGTTTGATTGTGTTTCATATAATTCTCAGTTTACTCTGAACTTGCCAAGATTAAGAAAATGCAAAAGAGTTTGGGTGTTCTTAAGATTTCAGAACGTTGCAGAAGTTAGAAGAGCTTCACAATTCCATTGTGACAGCATGCCCTAATTCAGAACTACGAACGATCGATGACGATTCTTCGCGATGCAGTGGTCTCATGAAATAAGGAAACGTATTCGTGCTACGAACACACGCGAATTTCGGACGAATAAATCTTGCTTGTATTTTGTACATATAATGATACTTTGCCTTTCATAATAAACAATTTGTCAAGTGTCATTTATTTACTGGTAATAGTGCATGTTTCAGTCGGGCAAATCTTGATTAATATTTGATACGCCGTTTTTTGCATGTTTCAGACACATCGAGAAATATGCTCCCGATTTTAAACATTAATATCTCCGTGAATTTTAAGTGAAATACAACTGTAGTATATCAAAATCTAAGTTAATCCTTCCTCTATTTGATGCAAGTTATTTCGCTTTAAAAGGTTTACTTGTTTAGAAGTTATTACGAATCAAACAGGAGTACTTTTTTGGGGGACACCCGGTATATATATATATATATATAATCAAGTTAATCACCAACACATATTTTTAACGTTTCGACTTTATTGTCTTCATCAAAGTAAAATCGTTTACACAAACCCCTACTTTTATACCCTACCATGCAGATGAGCATAATTATTCATACACCTCAGAATCCTGTTCAATGTTCAACCCCGAGGGGTACATTGTCATAAGTCTATTAATCCAATACGTTTCCCTAATTGTTGGTTCGGCTGGATTGGTTTTGTCAATTATGACTATATCACAATCATTCATTAAGCCATTATGTTTTTCGCCTAAGAAATGTGAATGAAAAAAGGCTTGTGTATGAGCTTTGTTGGGCATTGCTTTCCTTTGGCAAGATTTATAATTATTCCATCGAAATCGGAATTTATCCGTCGTTTGACCAACAGCTTGCAACGCGAAGCAACGCGCATAAACCAGTGGAAAAACACTAAATCTGTATTGTCCTGGTTTAATAAAGTTACTGGTAAGAGCCAGTACTCATTTATTGCATTTGATGTTGCATGACTTCTATCCATCCATCTCCATTGATCTTCTGAAGGCTGCGTTAGATTTTGCGTCCAAGTATGATAACATCACAGATACAGAAAGAGAAATTATTCTACATGCGAAGAAATCGTGCTTGTACAACTCGGGCAGGCACTGGGGAAAGAAATTATCATCAAATATATTTGATGTCACTATGGGTAGCTTTGATGGTGCCGAATCATGTGAATTGGTCGGGTCTTTCCTACTACACCTTATTACGATGAAGCACGGTAATATAAGTTTGGTTTATATAGAGACGACGGCTTGGGCATTATCAAAGCAACACCACGCCAAATAGAACTAATTAAGAAGGATCTGTGCGCCTTATTCGACAACCATGGTTTGAAAATTACTATCGAGGCTAACAAGAAAATCGTAAATTTCCTTGACGTCACACTAAATCTAACCACCGGTAAATATCATCCATACTCTCAGCCTAATAACACACCTCTTTATGTGCATAGCAAGTCTAACCACCCACCCAGTGTTCTGCGTAATATTCCATTATCCATTAACAAACGACTAACCGAGATATCCTCTGATCAAGATTCATTCGAACAAGCCTCCCCGTCATATCAGCAAGCCCTTGACAAAAGTGGTTATAACCACAAGCTACAGTTCAAACACCCCCTAAACGTAACGAATAACAAGAATACCCGAAGCCGTAAAAGAAAAATTATATGGTATAACCCACCATATAGTAAGAATGTTTCGACTAATGTTGGACAATCCTTCTTGAAAATAATTGACGAGGAATTCCCCGCAGATCACCCACTACACAAGATATTCAACCGTAATACAGTCAAGATTAGCTACAGCTGTATGCCAAACGTCAATCAGAGTAGCAGACTATTGATGGACACAACAAATCCACGTTAATTGTCTACAATTTCCAGCACCAGTAGCCTTAACATGTGTAGTTGCCCTAAAAACAATAAAGAATTGTGCCCACTATCTAACAAATGTATCACTGAATCGGTTGTATATCAAGCCACAGTCACTATTAAGGACAAAACTATACAAATAGACCTCCCCAAACATATGTCGGACTTACAGAAAACTCGTTTAAAACAAGACTTGCAAACCATAACCGAACTAAGCAAATACGATAACCTTGTAAGTTTTAGTCTATAGTCATTAGGTCAATTTATCTGAAGAGTGCCACATTTATGAAGAGTGCCACGAAACTATTTAGTAATAAAGATGCCTAGTAGATTTTGTTGATTCTTGTACCTTAATCTGGTTTTCCATTGAGTACTTTACCAAAAGTTTTTATAACCAACGAAACCACCTTACCTTGATAACTCCGGAAATCTCAAAAAAAACTCATCTAGTAATTGTTTATATATGAATTCTGTTTTAACAAGTAACTATGGTTACTTGTTATAGGTTCACGATTGTTAGAGGTAAATTAGCTATAACATCCTAATTCTATCTGTTATACATGTTGTAGATCAACGCTTTAACTGAAAAACTCCCTGCAGCCAAAGAAGATTTTGAGAGATGTATGGAAATCAACCCATCATTTGTGCCAGCTAAAGTTCAGCTGGCATTTTGTATTTATAAAACAGCAATGATGCAACAGTCTGCCTTGTTGCTGCAAGGAGCGAAACGGATGTTCAACGATATTATTTCAAGTCACCCGAAGCACGCCGATGCATATAGCTTGTTTGCTCAGGTATTTATTATTCTCTTTGCCGTAGAGATTATGGAAGAATAGAGTTGCCATTGCTGGAAAAATCGAGGGACAAATTGAAGGCAAATAACGCTCTGTGATTGGCTAAAATCTCGTTCCCCGGATGTAAATTCTCATTCCTGGATGCAAAGCCGCGATGTTTGGGAGGAGCGGGAAAATAGTACAACTTTGAAAACATCAATTTTTTCCAGTTTTAACATAGTTCAAGCAAAGACTAAAAGCTCAAAATCAACAAGAATATTATGAATATACCTGGACTTTAATACAAATGTTTTGTATCGTTTTATATCGATAATTAATTTTCCGTTTTATATCGTGGAAAATGATGAAGTCACGAAGAATATTTCTTCGTGACTTCATCATTTTCCACGATATAAAACGGAAAATCCTCAATTTTTCGACTGTTGATAAAACCAGGTTTGCATGGTTTGCAATACTTGAGTTGGGAAGGTGAGAAAATGATTTCTTGGTTTTACGTGGGTATAACTCAAATTCAGAGGTAAAATGGCCCTGGGTACGAGGTTGACTCAAATGTGCCCCCCATTAACAAGCTTCAGTTTGTCCCTTTCGTTTGCCTGAACTTTTCCCGCAATGCCCACTCTATTCCTTTATAATCTCTATCGGGTTTGCATCTTTTGTATTCAAAATTTCACAAACAAATGGACGAGTAAGATAAAATTTTGTCCCCGAGCCGGCGGCGCGAAGCACCGTGCGAGAGCACTAATTCCGCACGGCTAATTATACCCGGATATGTGAAAACATAGCGGAGTGCAAAGTTGTCCTCCTTTTTGTTTATGTCTTGGACGGTTTTCCACGTTATGCACATGCGCGAGTACAAATTCTGTCGAAATGCTGTTTTACAGCAATTTTTTGTTTTAAATTTCGTTAAAAAGTTTACAAAAGTACAACACGGGTTTTTTCCTCGATTTTAACTTTATTGACTTTGACTTATTGACTTTATTAAAAACGGTACTATTTCACCAAGATATTTACAAACATTAAGACGGGTGATCTTCCAATAGGCCGTATATAGCTATACTAATTACACATATACTACAGTATCTAATAATAATAACTAAATTACACACAAATTACACACTTACAGTTAGACTATTTTTAAATGTAGAGATACTTGTTTTAGCTTTTATGTCAGCAGACAGATTATTCCAAGTCTCAGCTCCTCGATAGGCGAAAGACTTTTTCATAAAATTAGTTTTAGGTTTAGGTAATGCAAAATTGAATTCGCTCTGTCTTGTATTGTAATTATGTATTTCATTTGAGGTGATGAAAAGTTCCGTTTAGCAATTTGGTAACATGTTATGTTTGGCTTTGAACATTAGGACGGCTAAATGATGTTTTCTTCTAGTCACGAGATTTGGAAAACCGACCTTGTTCAAAACATCGATTGTACGTGTATCATAGTTTTCACGAGTTATTATTCGAAATGCTCTATTTTGAAGCTTCTGGAGTTTATCAGATAGTACTTTACCCAGACAACCCCAAATCTGTGAGCAATAGTCGAAATGTGGTTGAATTATTGATAAATAAATTTTGATCAGTGTTTGGTAATCTAGAATGTCTCTCAATCTTTTAAGGATACTGAGACCTGAATTAACCTTTTTTTGTAATTTGATCAACTTGAGCATTCCATGAGAGTGTTTCGTCAATCATTAAGCCGAGTGATTTGGTCGTTTTGACTCTATTAATTTCTCTGTCTTTTATGAATATATTAGGCGTTATGTTAATATGATTGACTCTTCTATTACTACCTATTATCATGTATTCTGTCTTCGTTTTGTTTAAAGTTAGTTTATTTGCCGACAACCAAACTGAAACGTTTTCTAGATCTTGATTAAGTTCCTCAGCAATTGTATTAACATCATAACCTGCCGTTTCAATTTGGGTATCGTCGGCAAACATATTGACTTTAGTGTGTTCCAGACAATTAGGTAGGTCATTTATGTAAATTAGGAACAAGAGTGGACCAAGAGCCGAACCTTGTGGTATACCCGTTGTCACACATAGAGGATCAGATAAATGGGCATTCACTTGGCAATATTGTATTCGACCTGTTAAATAGGAGTTGAGCCAGCGTAATGCCGACCCCCTTATGCCATAAATTGCCAACTTACTAAGAAGGATGTCGTGATTAACAGTATCGAATGCTTTTTTTTAAATCAAGAAATATCACACCATTAAGTTGGCCAATGTCCATATTCTGATACCATCTATTTGTGATATCGAGCAACATAAGCCTGCAGTTTCATGAATTAGTGGCTGTTCGACCGTGAAACAAAGTTTGTATAACAATTGTTTTGATGTTGATGTCTTTGATAATTTAATCGTTGTGCCGGTTTGTGCTCTCTCCTCCGCAGAGCCTCCTTAAGTATTTACAAATAACTTACATGAAGTTTCCTGAATAAAAGTGGGCGCGCGTGGTGTGATGGGAAGATTGAAATGAAGTTGGGGAGGCTCTGCCAGATAATGCGACGAAGTATCGTTTTTGAACCAAACTAGCTGTTTGACCTTTTTTAAGCTTGAAATCGACGGAAATGTGAAAGAAATTGAAATGAATCTTCATAATCTGAGTATCGAAGTTCAATAGAGTCATTTTTATAAAGAAATGTTGCAATTAAGAGGATATTTATAATTAGATAGCTCGTATCCATTGATATTCGTTTGCAATTTCTCAATATTTTTCGATGCAAATGGACGGAAGAAGATATTGATATTTAATTCACCCCAGGATACTCGAGTACGCCTGAAAATGAAAGTCGAAAACATGTTTTAATTAACACCCTCGATGGTTGATCGAACTTCGCTACAAACGATTATATACGACGCCATATTGATTGCATTAACTCGCAGAGGCTTCCTTTATTTAGCTCTTCCCATCACTCCTTGCGCGCTCACTTTTCCCTCACTAGAAACTTCATGTAAGCCTCTGCGGAGGAGAGAGCCGGTTTGGGTAAGTGTAAACATTTCAGCAGTAAAATTCCATGCCGGACTTGCTTTGTGTTGTCGGTTTTATTCATATCTGCGAAATTTTTAAGCCATTCTTAACTCGATAATTCACTTTAATGCAAGCTGAAATGCATGAAATTGCAGTGAATGTTATCGTACTTTCATTATAAAGCTAGCGCATCAGTTGTGTTTTTATGTTTGTTTATAATCAGGTCTTAATACTTTATGTGGAGTTTGTATACCTCATCTGTTAAGAAAGGCGAGGGGTTGCTGCATGCATGTATTTTCTAGTTAAATTCTATATATTACGTATTGTGCATAGGTCTACATATTGTTGTGGGAAATTTTAGTTAAACCAAGAAATGCAAGACTTCGAACCTGCCAGTAAGAACTTTGATACCGCTATCTCACTAGAGCCAAATAATCCTGTTCACTACGTTTACAAGGCGTAAGTATTTGTTAAACATTTTTAGTGATTCTATATTGCCATGCACAGTGGTGCTCCTTCTGTTTTGTCTTGCACCAGTACCGTTAATTTCAGGGGGGTAATTTAAGGCTACAGGACACCCTTTTTGGCGTTTTGCGAAAAATCGCTACTGCGCGCTCAAAATCCGTCCGATTTTCATCAAATTTTCACCAAATTTTCACCAAATGTTAGCCAGTGCATGCAAAATATGGTAAAGTTGTAAAATTGACAAACAAAATAATGTAAGAATTATTCAGGAAAATCTTAAATCGTGGTACCTTTACGCTTTTGAGTTAACACTCAAAGGTGTTCTGTAACCTTAACTCCCAGTGGAGTTATTTTGAACCAAATTTAACCGCTCCAGATGTGGAGTAAAAATTGGGTTCAAAATAACTCCAGTTAAATTAACTGTAATGACAAGCTTCCGTTGGTAGGGATCCAACTACCTGAAAATATATAAGCAGAATTTCTACGTTTCAATTTCGTCTCCAGACGAAGAATTGGCAACCATACCTACACTGCATGGCAGAGACAGTTTACGTTAAATTAGTAACTCCCTGAAATTAACAGTGCACTCCTAAATTAAATATGCTTCCACCAGAATAGAATGGTATGGTATGGTATTGTATGGTATGGTATGGAAAATGGTATGGAAAATGGTATGGTATGGTACAAAATATTGCAAAATAATTTCGATGCATCTTGTATATTATGCAATCGTAATCCATGCTTTCTTAACAAAACTCTTTTGATTTGTTAATTAACATAAATTCATACGAGCGACAAAAACAGGAGAAAATAGACTATTCAGTATATTTGAAATATTTGCAATAAATATTGTACTCATCTTTGTTATATAGATTGTTGGTTTGCCAGTGGAAACGAGATATCCAACAGGCGATGGATCTTTTAAAGAAAGCAGTCACTCTTGATCCTAAATGTGACTTTGCGTTTGAAACTTTAGCCACGTTACAAGTTCAGAGGTAGCCTTTATTACATCCTTAGTTTTCGTTCATATTGTGATACAATACTGTAAATCTCACAGTCGGGCTTTTTATATGATCACACATGTATGTTAGAGAAACATTACTCACCAGCAAAAAGGTGCATGGAATTTTTCTGGGAACCTACGATATTTAGTGTTAAATTTTCTTTAAGATTTTAAAATACCTTAAATATGAGCCAGTGTTGGTGAACATTGGTGAACCTTGCGTTTGGCTAGTCTGGGTAATTGGCAAGTACACGCTCTGAAATTTAGAAACACGCCCGAAATCTTAAATCATATATTACGAAAGTCACCGAACTGTGGAATCGCATCAAAAATTCGTATATCGACCACTCCCACAAACGTCTACGACCGCGCCTACATCGCATGTTTACAATTCTAATTTTAAACAGCCAATCAGGTTCTTGGTAACAATTACAATTAAACGTCGATGTAGGCGCGGTCGTAGACGTTTGTGGGAGTGGTCGATATACGAATTTTTGATGCGATTCCACAGTTCGGTGACTTTCGTAATGGCTACAGTCGTGACAATGGAAGTGTAAAATATTCAGCCAATTCATTTGCTCACACGAACCAGTTCATTTGAGACGTCTGACCTATTTTCCGCAACTTCGTACATACAGTATGTATTTGATCATTTCTGCTCGCTTCCTGCCTCTTTATGATTGGTCAATTGCACCAAAACCAAAGGTGATTGTGCATTCAACAGGAAGTTTATCAATTACACGGCAAGTTATCAAATCAGCAAATGAATTGGTTCATGTGAGCAAATTAATATACCTTTTGCTTAATGACGTCACAAGGCTTGATGCCCGCGAAGATTGCTGGTCTTAGTAGTCATCGCCCGGGAAAATTTCAATAGTGGCCATTTTGAATTGTTTAATTTTCCCGGGCGATGACTATTAAGACCAGATTCCTCGCGGGCATCAAGCCTTGTGAGGTCATTATGCATAAGGTCTATTGGTAGAATATTGAGGAACACTTGCATCGTGGCGACTGTAAGACCTATAGGGTTCGCAAATCTCTCTTAGTTTTTCTTCGACTGTTCGCAACATTTACCAGCAAAAATGAACAACTCGACAAATTTCCATCTTTCTTTCAGTGGGGACTTCAAAGAAGCGATCGAGAACTTTGATAAAGCTCTTCAAAATGTAAGAAGTGAAAGTGAAATGGCGCATACTTTCTCAATCCGACAAGCAGCTCTGGCTCAGGAATATGTGACCAAAGTAATAGGACTAATCCCGCCAAGGCTGTTCTGACACTGTTCCAGTAGGTGTTGATTCAAGTTGATATGATTGTTATCTCGTTTTGGTTTCAAAATCTGAACACAGAACTTCCTAACTCGTAGTGACACCGTCATTTTAAGCATTTTGCAGAAACTTTCTCGACTGGTGAATGCAATGAGGTGTCCGTTATTAAAGGAAGTTAAGCCAGGCAATATATCGAGGACGAAACACAGAAAAAACAGTTATAATATCATGTCTTGTACACACTATATACAAGTGAAAGAAAAGAAACAATGTCAGGGAGTCATTTTTTTTTTCGTTCGGTTTGTCGTACATTATACACGTTTTTATCCCGCTCATGATATTTTAACAGTGAAGAAACGCGAAGCGTTGAGGTGAATATCCTTGCACTATTCACCGACACTGAGGTGAACAAGTTTTAGCATGGCCATCCAAAAAACAACGAAAATGTTTTTAAACAATTTCTATTACAGCTCGGCCTCACGTTATTAATAGTTGTAAACAAAACAGTATTTAGTTTAGTTTAATGAATTTGTCACATTTACATAGAAAAATTTTACAATTGACACTAGGACAATAAAAACTAACAAAATAATTAGTACTTGTGACAGGAGTCTGAAACAGAACTTGCGTCCCAATTGATATCAAACCCCTTTATGAGCTTTTAGTAATTTCATTAATTAGAAATAGCTTTAAAGAATACGTCTACACACTGTTAAAGGCACAGTTCAGCCTTTTGAACGATGGTTTTTAAGGCGCAGTTGATCAGCCCTTTTAATTGAAAAAACTAACTAGGAAAATCAATTATACATAATTCAAGATCTTCATTTAGTACAAAAATTTGTTCATTTGTAACTGAACGAAACAGGAAGCCATTTTGTTTTTGTCCGGAGGTGAATAGTGCAAGGATGTCCGGAGCTAAGCAACCAATCAAAAAGCACTATCATGCACCTGCCGAGTATCTGCTAAATTCAAATATTAAAAACTATATAATATAAAAATTATTTGAAAACATAAAACCAACTACACCTGATATTGCTTCTACGTGTGAAATTGTTTAAAAAGTTACAAAGCATCCGGCGAACTGCTGACGACAAGCCGCGGTTAGCGTTTTAACGTTGAAGGAAAAATCTAAAGGTCTGTATTGACTAAAACGTGATCCTAAAGCAAGCCAGGACCCTAACCGTGAGCGAAGTATTTAAACAAAATTAGGTTGCGTCCAGTGATGGTTTGTGTTCAGGGTTGTTTTAGGGTGAGGATTGAGTCAATCTTATTTCTTTTCTTTCATTTGCATATTTAGTGTGTACAAAAAAAAATAATACCAGACGAACGGTCAACCAAATTTGATATTGATAATATTGAGACCACTGATCTCGAAAGTAGAGTTGTTCACTTGAGTAGAATAAAGCCATAATCCGCTAATACTACGCCCCAAGTGTCTTCAAGCCTTGCGTGTATGCCTGATGTTTTGATGGATTGAAAATTACGTGACGTAAGCACATCTAGGGTCAATTGCAACGCAATTTCTGCCACACAATCGTGATGTAAAACTAGTTTCATATCTATTTTGACACTGTAGAGAACAACGAAAAATTCGTTATCTCAAGCGGGATTCGAGGTTCTGGACCGCTCTAACCTCTGCCCATTGAACTATTGGGTCAACGGCGTTGGTAGCGAGGTTTACCCACTCTCCTCCGCAGAGGCATTGTGTTTTGTTTTGGTTTTTTTCGAAGTTTCCAGGCGGGATAGTCGCGGGCTAGGCTGGCTAGGGGGAAATTATAGGGGATAAATAGGGATAAAGGGGAGAGGCGGAGCTAGCCCGCGACTATCCCGCCTGCAAACTTCGAAAAAACCAAAACAAAACAAACTTCGAAAAAAACCAAAACAAAACACAAAGCCTCTGCGGAGGAAGGGTGAGGTTTACCTAATACGGAATATTTTCGTGACAACTTAACGCTTGTGTTGGAGGACGCACAATTCTATTTCAGAACCATCCTCAGAGATATGAATAACTACTTATTTATTTTGAGACTGTATAGAACGAGATATTTCATTTTGTTTGAGATATTTCGTTTACTCAATTACATATCAATGAGATATCAGTAATTGTTGTGTATCTTTGCTATTTTTTATCAAAATCTTTCCAAAGATGCGACGCGTTTGTTAATTTAACCTGCAGCATTTAGCATATTGTTTTTTTAAACAAATCCGTCAAAAATAGCCCCAGATCGACACAAACAATCTCGTACCCAGAGCAATGCCTGTGCGCGGGCTAGGATGGCATTGGCTCTGGGGAAATTGACAACCGGAACCCCTAAATTTAGGGGTTCCGGTTCTTTGTCGGCATGCACGATTGATAAACGTTAAACCAATCACAGCACAGGAAAAATTCAATTTCCCCAGAGCCAATGCCATCCTAGCCCGCTCACAGGCATTGCTCTCGGTACGAGATTGAGTTTCAAACAAAATGAAAGATCTCACGAACAAACCATGCATGGGAACCAATTTTTTCAAAAGAAGTTACTTTGCAGTTTTAGGAGTTCTTTCGTTTGAGACAATAAAAATTTTAATGCCACTTAATAGAAATGGCAGTCGGAGAAAAAGCGCGCTTTTTGAGAAACATTTTGTAAAATAGTAATATTTTCGACGTACAAATCAATGTTGATCGGATCAACAGATCGGCAGTGGTATCTTTAAAAAAATAAATGATACCTGTCAAAAAATCGGGTTAGTTCGCGGGATCTGATCGTGACCTAAATTGCCGCGAAACGGCGAAATGCTATTCTCTTTCTTCAAAACTAATAACACATCGGATTATATTGTCCACTAAATTTTATAATAACTTCATTAGGGCGCAATTCCAGTCCTCGCATGAAGCAGCTCGTTGCGAGTGCATGCATGAGCACTTTCATCCAATCCGATGCTAAACAGTTAAGAGGCATTTTTTTTCCAATGTCGCGTATTTACAATGAAAATTAGTGTTCAAAACCTAAAATATTGTTGGCGTTCCTCTCAGAATCACTTTGTTTTTGCTTTATTCTCTAGTTTATACAGTTAGCTACCTTTTAAATGCATCTGCCGGTTGAGAAACATAAAATAATAGTTAAAAATTGTCAATTAAAATACAATTATCAATGATATGCTTTAAAATTGACGCCATATTTATTAAGCCATATAAGCAAAACTTACTGCATGAACTTCAGACATAATTTTCTCTCTGGCGTATCATCTAAAATCTCTTCATTTTAGCATTATTTTACAGATAAAGCACTAAACATACTTTTCAAGTTTGTCTGCCGATTGAGAAACGTATCGAAAAATAAAAATTTTGAATTTAGTCATAACCTCAAGTGGTATATTATACGCATTAGTTTTGAGCGCGTGTTACGTAACATACAAAAAAATCTCTTAATTTTAATTAGATGCAAGCACTCGCAGGAGCTTCGTGCGAGGACTGGAATTGCGCCTTAATAACACCAGAGGAATGAAGATGGCTATGGATTCTACTACCTAAAAAATACAAGGAAAACTTCGACGTCTCGAGCGAAAGCCCTTCGTCGTGAAGTTACTGACTTCCTGCTGAAGAAAGGCCTTGAATCAAAACGTCAAAGTTTTACTTGTGTTTTTCAGGTGGTGTTTTTGTTACCGCCTTACGCTGGCACAGACCGTTCGAGTTTAACTTAATGGACCATTTGCATTTTTGACTAAAATTTTGATCTAAACAAGTCTAGACAAAAATTTCATCAAAACTTGAAAGAGCATCACAAAGTTAGTAATATTCCAAAGTTTCGTTGCGAAATGTTGTAAAATGCGGATAATATAGCCTTGCGAAGTTTGCCGTTTTTCAGTCATTTTGCATTACGCGGGGGAAATTGACAGCCCAATACCCTTTGGGGCTGTCAATTTCCTGTTTGTAATACAAAATGACTGAAAAACGGCAAACTTCGATCGCAAGGCTATATTATTCGCATTTTACAACATTTGGCAACGAAACTTTGGAATATTACTAACTTTGTGATGCTCTTTCAAGCTGTGATGAAATTTTTGTCTAGACTTGTTTCGATCAAAATTTAGTCTATAACGCAAATGGTCCATTACAACATTTTATGGCCCCCAAATCAGATTGAATTGACTTGAAAATAGCAATGAGCTTTTACGCTTGGCCTCAAATAAACAGGTGGTCGCGCGGATAAACAAAGGAAATTATTTATCCTAACGGGTGTTAGCGAACTTGCTACCAGTAAGATTGTTCTTTCACAGGCCTTTTTCCGTGCAATCGGGAGAATCGTAACGCTGGAATCTGTAACTACCAAGAATCTGTAACTACTAAGATCTAGAAACAAGGCTTTATTTGTCATCTCCCTTCGGAACGAAGAATCATGTTTCGTATCTGAAGAAGAAATCAACGAAGGTGTTAAGTCACGCGCTTGACGGCCTTTACTCAAAGAGGAATCTGACGCGGGCGTCCAACAATCACTCAGGAAAAAGTCGAAAGATCAATCGAAAGTACGTGCATGAAAAACACTAAAAGTTTATAAATTTTGTTGTAAAGATTTATCATATATACTCAGCCATACTGGATATCGGCTTAGATATATTGTATATATTTTTGAAGTATTTACTTGCAAAGAGATCAGATTTTATATTTGACTTGAATGGAGGGAGTTGTTTAAGAACGTAAAGCATCAAGGAGGATTTAAACATATCAAATGCCAAGGATTTTGGATATCTAAAACATACTGAAGAAAAGTTATTTGGATTTGTTTCATATTGCGACCACCAAAAGTAATCTACCATACAAAAGCCTAATGTTAGCCATTCCGCGGCCTCGTCCACTAAAACTAGACCTGAGCCATGTCCCCAAACAAGAAAAGCAGAATTCACATTTATCAGATGAATCCAGCTCGCTGTTTTCTACTAATCTTCAGATTCAAATCTGTGATCTCATCGGCAGCGGTGGATTCGGCACTGTATACTGCGGCGTGCTCGATAACCAAAAGATCGCCGTGAAGAAATTGAGGTCGAATACTAAAACGGAAGATCTAGTGTGGAACAGCTTTTTGGCAGAGCTGCGAGTAATGCGCTTGAATCATGACAATATTGTGAAGGTTTTGGGAGCCATGATGTTGAAGAACACTCCGTGTTTGGTTATGGAGTTTGCCGGGAGTAGAAACTTACAGGAAGTGATTGAATGCAAAGACGAGAAGTTGTCTCTCGCTCGGCGTCTCAACATTGCATCAGCCATTGCATGCGGACTGGAGTATATCCACAATCAGGGTATAGTTCATCTGGATATCAAACCTGCAAACCTTATCATGAACGATGAATCTTCGTGCAAGATCGCCGACTTCGGATGCTCTCTTAAGGTCGACGAACTCGACGGCGATCTCCGACCGAATTTCTACCTCACAGGCACGCATGCATACAAAGCTCCGGAATTGCTGCTCGGGGAGTTTCCCACCACGCAGGCGGATGTGTATTCCTTGGGGATTTGCATGTGGCAGATGTTGGCTCGCGTCGAGCCGTATGCGGACAAGGACCCGCAGTTGGTGATATTTGGTATAGCAACAAACACGGTTAGACCCGGATTACCAAAGGTCGTGTCTGAATCCGATGCTGGATATCGGAAGTTGTTTGAAAAATGTTGGAAAGGTGCGCCCCATGACCGACCAACTCCATCTTCTTTGCAAGTCGAGTTGATCACAAATCGTGAACTGATTTAGATTCAAATACACTCACTTATAAAATCACATCACAACAAGTTGTTGGGATATCTACGGTACTTACTATATATACATGATTGTTTTTCTAATCCATGCATACACTATAATAGCCCATCAAGATACGACACTGGCTGGGACACAACAATAAATAAATAATAATTATATATATTCGGGATACCCACATCTCATACGTGCATGTTTTTCATACGTGTGTGAATAGAGGGGGTGGGGATCGAATGTTGTTAAAATTATAGCTTTTTGGGCTATCTGTCCTAACACACCATTTGAAAATTATTGTAGTTACTCGATTATGGATCCATTGTCCGCCCGGATTCAATAATGAAACAATCTAAATCGGAGCTGGTAATAATGAGATCTCTGTATCCTGGGAACCGAATAACATTTGTCTCAGCAACAAGATCAGAGTCTGAGAGGTTCAGATTTGCCTTCTACTACCATTATCAAGATGCTTTAATCTACTCGATTAACCAATCAGATGCATGTGTACTGAGCCGGCGAGAGGTGACGGTATTGGAAGTCAAATCTGAACCTCTTTATTAATATAAGACTGAGGAACGTTTATAATATATCATACACATTTACTTCATAGAAAGATTTTTAAGAATCAAAATAAATATACAATAGGGTGTAGCCAAACCAGTCATGATTTACTAGGGCTAGACCGATAGAAAGTGAGGTTATCAAAGAATGACACAACACAATAAAATCAATATAGAACACGCAAGTCAAAATAAATTAACTACCCATCCCCAACCGATTAGCTACGGCCCTGTTAGCGTGAGAATTGGAAAATGGATCTCTAGATCGTATTTAGTACGTACGCAGACTTTTGAAAATTGAACCCCTCTCATGCAAAGAACAACGGAAATGACATCATTTTTAAATGATGTCAAATAATGTCATCATTTTTAAATGATGTCCTATTTGCAAAGCAAATAGGCATATGCAAAAGCTACAAAATTTTGGACCCCGTTATCTGCGTACGTATTAAATGGATTACCCTTAATACAGGATTCAGTTAGTCTACGTGTTCTTTAATTTTAAAATGTCATAAACTTGTATGAACGTTCGTTTCATGGAAATGATTGTCGGTGCAATTGAAATATGCTTCTTTAATTATTTCTTTCCTTCGTGTTCGTCGTCGGTCAGCTTTTAGATTTCCTTCTTTCAGCCATATCATAAGCGACAACGTCTTGTGAAGCTACCATCAGCTGCACGACGCTTACCAGTTGTTTGAGGAAACATATCGGGAAACTGACGTAGACAAGCAACGACCACAAACCAACTGGCGCGTTGTTTAAAGTGAACACTAAAAAAATGGAAAAAATATAATAAGTCGTACTAATATAGCAGACTAATTCATGCCAGCCCATATAGAATATACTCTGCCATTCAAACTCCATATAACCCACAATCCGTGACAAAAGGTTTTTGGACAGTGATATAATATATGCATATCTGCGCCTTTCCAAATACTGTTCAGCATAAAACCACTATCCCTCCCTCCCCCACCCTAAACAATGTTGGGTGGCTGGCAAGGAACATTTACGCCGGTATTTCCACACACAACATTGAACGGGGTGGTGCGGGGGGTCGATTATGTTGTAAATGTGCGCTCTTTTGCTATTTTGTCCAAAGTGTTTTGTCACTGATTGCAGTCATAGGCGTACCGGGCGGGGGGGGAGGGGGGTAGCCCCCCCCCCAGTTTTTTGGGCAGTCGGGCAATATTCGATCAGCAGTCGGGCAATTTTAGTTTGTAATAAAAATAAATGGGACAAATTCTGTCAATTTAGTCGAAAATTCAGTCAATTTTGTGGTCAATTTTATGTTGTGTGGAAAATTTGTGTGATGTTCCGAAAAATTTTGGTATGTCCGGAAAAATTTTTTGACCCCTAAAATGGTACACTGACCGGGGGGGGAGGTCGCCGAAATAATTTTTCCGGAAAAAATTTTTTAGGTACTAGTCGGGCACAATCCCGAAAAGTCGGGCACATTTCTTTCCGCCCCCCTAAATTTTTCCTTCCGGTACGCCCATGATTGCAGTCTAGACCTGGGGACTTTAGTACTCGGCAGTGGCCGATTGTTCAAAGTTGGATTAGGGCGAACTTTGAGGATAAATGAACTTCATGACGTCACTAAGCGAATGCCGTGGAAAGGCCTATAGTAGATTTCCCAACTCTGCAGAACTCAAATAATATAGTTTATTATATAAACATAAGTGTTATATAGAGTTTTTGGCCACTGAGAAAAATCGTATTTAAACACACGTAAAAAATACGATATTTTTACGTGTGAAAATATCATTTATTGTAAAACGCATTGCCACGGATCGGACGTTTTATTGTTTTTCACTGAATTTTGTTTATATAATAAACAGAAAAATACATGGGTGCTTGGAAATACCAGATTTATTTCTCGTGTTGAACATGATATCTCACTCGTTCGCTGCGCTCACTCGTGAGATATCATGTTCAACACTCGAAATAAATCTGGTATTTCCGCGCACCCATGTTATTCTCCATTTATTTACTTCGCAAGACAATCTACTGCTTTGTTTTGAACATTTTAGGCTTGCTTAAATTTAGGAAAACAAGGAGTGTGCCGAAGTTTCGTATTTTGACATGGATTTAATTAAAAAATAACACTATGGTTTATGAACTGATAACTTGACAAACTTTTTTAGCGATACGGTCCATTAGAAAAAAACTGGAATTAGCTGGGGAAAATGGTATTCAGAACTGTTTACGACCTTCATAGCTTTTCAGGAACGTCAATTTCCTCCATCGTGGCTTCACTTTTGTCATGCATAGACCGAATGATTGACTTTCTTGCTCCAGATACATAGCGCTCACTAACTATAAGTCATAACTTAGTTAATTTTACTGTATTGGTTTAAAATCTCTCTTAGATTGCGAAAAGTCCGCTTTGAGAACCAAAAAGGTGACCATGTCGAAATGGAGCAAGTTTGGGGCAGTCTTGAACATTTTCATTTTTTAATAGGAAATTTCTCGCTGTCTCCCTCCCTTCACCTCGCCTCAAAATTGCGGCTAGGTCCCAGTGCGCTGAACTATAAGTACTGAAGGCTCTATATATAAGCCGTGTTAACACTAGAGACCTATACCTTACCTAGGACCGACCTAGAACAGTTAGTCCTGTAGTGTAAACGCACTAGGACTGACCTAAGACTGACCTAGGACCGAGCTAAGACCATGTTTTCAGGCCAAGCATTAGAGATGGCCTGAAAACATAGTCTTAGGTCAGTTTCAGGTTAGGGTTACAGTGTAAACACATTTTCACTGACCCAAGACGTGCTCGAGGCTAATTTCCATGACAACAAACGTCTTTGATGTCAGCACTCAGCGGATGTCATTTTATACTTTGTACAGTAATTCATTTTGCATGTATATAATGACCAATTAGCCTTTCTCACGCCGCCATTTTTGGGTGGCTTTTCAGCCGAAGTCTGCGAGATAAGTCCACATAACAGCAACTTTTTATAATTTTTTTGGACGAATAATGGTAAATTTGCTTTGTAAATGGTTAGTTTATTTTTAAAAATTGCTTTTCACATTGTTTTTATTGTCTGAATTGGTTAGTAACGAGAATTAGATGCCACCCAAAAATGGCGGATATTCGATGATTGTGAGAAAGGCTTGATTCAATGGGACTTGGGCCTTTAGTTAGGTAACAAATGTAAACATGCCTGGCTAGATACTTCTCAAGTACAGGTAAATGTCAGGTAAATGCCAGTCCCTTAGTGTAAACACGGCCATGTTAGGCTACATATATCCTATACCAACAATATCTCACTACACCAGTATAAGGCCAAATAAAAAAAAAACTTGGTTCACGTCATCGCCCGCCTCTCGATTTCTGCCGCCTCTGAATTTTTTTATGTAAATCTCTTCGTTTTACAGCTTAAAACAGTTTAATATTTGAAATTTTTCTCATGCTCAGACCTTCGCGCTATATACTGATCGATAGGAGCGCGTGGTCTTGGATATACAAGGTTCTTATAGCAAAATGGCGGCCTTCGCAACATCAGTACAAAAAATATCACCGATATGGTGGAAAAACCGCCCCATCCCCCCAAAAAATACTATTAAAAATTTAAAAAACGAGTAAAAATTTAAAAAAAGCGCCGTCCTGCCTCTGAAAATTTGTGAGAGTGTGACGCTAACCAAGTATTTTTTTTTATTTAGCCTAAGCTAAAATGTACATGCTTTAATTTGTGATTGACTTCGGTAAACAAAAGTGCTCAGAGTTTGACGTGACTCGTTATCTAGATAGTCTATATATTCTATAGCTTTATTGTGTTTCACTGTTACTGAATCAACCAATTGTAGAACATGATGTTATGCGGGCTTTGTGATGGCCTCAATAATCTGATCATCATAGAATCGTAACTTACCAGTTGGTCCATATGAAAAGTGAATCAAATACAACATCACAAAGAACACTTCGTTTCCCCAGCACATCATGGTCAAAACAGACTAAAACATGAAATGTAACATCAGTAAGCGCTGATTTGTGATTTGTACAGTATAGTAGTATTTATATTCTTGATTTGCAACTACAGTACTAGCACAGCGGCCATGTTGGTGGTATTTCAACAAAAGAATCTCATTCTCATTATCTTTCATTTCATTTCTATACCCCACTGAATACATGTGATCATGTCTATTATATACTGACCACACAGTGTTCCGTTCGTTCTTTGAATAGCCCGTTTGGGTATTCCACTAATTGTTTGTACCATTATTGTTCGTTTCTGTGCTTGTTTTCGTCAGTCTTAGCTTTTTGTAGTCATGTTAATCAATAATTAGATATGACTTCTGACTACCACTAGCTGCTACCAGTAAACGACCATTAACTGGAAGCGGTAGTGGAAGTCGAATCTAAACCTCATTATTTTATGTTGGTCAGGATTTTGGTTCACTAGTTCAATGTTAAACATTAGGGAGCTTATTCCGTTGTTTACAATTACAAACTGCATACCGAAATTAGAAAGCCCAAGATACATGGCAACCTGGCCATGCCTTCGAAATAATATAAAATATCCAACATGAGCTCCACCTTTGAATTTACCATATGAGTAAATTCTTAAACACGTCCGAATTTATCACTATGATAAATTCGCGGCACATTTTGAATTTATCAATAGAGTTAATTATAAAACCACAAGCACTGCACAAGGTTTCTTGCTATAAATGCAATGGCACTAGAAGGGAGGCTGGCCCAGTGTGACCAGACGTGGTAATTTCATTACTACCGTGGTAATTTTTCGTCATTTTTGGACAATTGTGGCAATTCGAAATTTGTGGTAATTACTACGGTAATTTCAGAACTACCGTGGTAATTTTTCGTCAATTTCGGCCGATTGTGGTAATTTGAAATTTCCTGACCTTAAATGTACAGATTTTGGTGAAAAACCCCTAAATTTTACCGATTTTGTTTGAAAAAACTGGTTCTGGCCTTGTTTTAGGCGAAAAAAAACGGTTTTGGCGTTGTTTTACTTATTATTTTTCGGGAAAAAAATTTTTGACCCTAATTTACGAGGAAGTTGTCCGGAAAAATTTTTGGGGAATTTTTCGAAAAAATATGGTAAAATTGGGAAAATATAGCACCGTGGTAATTTCAGACCGAAAATAGTAATTTTTGAAACCGGATGTGGTAATTTGCCCTGAAAAAACCTGGTCACACTGGGCTGGCCGCGCTGGGGTGAGGAGTTTTTCAACTTTTGGGGGGAAATAGCTTTTAAAAAAGTTTTAAAAAGTTTTAAAAGAGTTTCGAAAAGCAAGAAAAGTTTAAAAAGTTAGATTTTTAAAAAAGTTAAAAAAATTTAAAAAGTTTAAAATTTAAAAATTTAAAAATTAGTGGTTAGGAGTTAGGGGTTAGTGGTTAGGGTTGGGGTTGGGGTTAGGGTTAGTGTTAGGTGCCGCGAATTTATTATTACGATAAATTCAAAATTTGCCGCGAGTTTATCATAATGATAAATTCGGACGTGTTTAAGAATTTACTCATATAGTAAATTCAAAGGTGGAGCTCATGCTGAAAATATCCCGTACGTACCCACGACTCGTAGTATAATTTGAGAAAGAAATTGGTTGTAGTCTTGTGGCTCTTGTCACCTTTTATCATCGAACTATAGAATGGGAAAGCTGATGTATAAAATGTGTTTGAAACTCAAAAATTTTGGCAACTACCTTGATTAGACAATATCCTTACTAGTTCCCGTGGGGAGAAGGGGGGGGGGGGAGTACAATGTTTAGTGGAAACGACTAGCTTTACCACAGCATGTTGCAGCCTGGATGATTCATGAAAGTTGTGTGATTGTGATTTCGGCTTGGCAGCAGGGCCGCCCAGAGGGGGGGCAGGGGGGGCAAATTGCCCCGGGCCCCGAGTTGCTGGGGGCCCCTGAAAATTTTTTGTTGGGCCCCAGCCTTTTTTGTGTGTTAAATATTTCCGCGCGAAGGACAAGATATCTGTTTTCTTGGACTAAGTACCGAATTTTGGCATAAAAAAATGAGATAAAGTCCCTCGAAAGCAATTGCAACGTACTCGTCCGGAAAAATTTTGTACTCCGGAAAAGTTTTTTTACCCCTAAAATGGTACACTGACCGGAAATTTTTGGAAAATTTTTCCGGGAAACTTTTTTTAGATAGGGGCCCCTAAAAAAAAAATTGCCCCCGCCAACCTCTGGGCGGCCCTGCTTGGCAGCATGTACCCTGCTTGTCAGCATGTACTAGGGGGACTGCCAATTCAGTTTGACAGTATCAGGTTTCCTCAAGCTACTTCGGTTTCTCCCGAGTTCGGTTTCCCCCTACAACATTGGACGAATATTATGGATGACGGTTACTGGATGGTTACATTGATCAAAGCATACTTTAAAGAAACCCAAATCTAAATGTGGTAGAATGTACTGATTTTTAACGTGTAAATTTCATTTAGAGATTGGAGCTTGACTTCACCCCCACCACCTCAATTTTCTTTTCAATGCATTTATGCGCGGAACTTGCGGAGATATGACAAATATGCATTGGCTATTATAAATACCTATACATGTGAAACCAATGACTGCTTACGTCCAGAGAGATAAGGAATTGAAATAGGATGCGATAGGAAGAATAGACATTACTTAACGACACCATTAGACACGTGGTTACACATCTGCAAGACACATATATTTAGAATTAATATCATTTCACTATTAATTTTAAATATACACTTGGCCCTGACATAAGTGGATTTGTTTGCCTTGTTTTGAAAAAAAAATTGAAAATGATATCTTTTAGACGACCTTCTCTACCTTGCTTGGTTTTAGAAATATTTAATTTTGATCAGAAACAACGTGTAGTCCGCCATCTTGTTTTTTATTATTTGACCTAATTGAATTTAAAATTTCGATGTGGTTGACTCCATTTCAACGAGAGAAGTTTCTTTAATATGGTGTGAACCAATTTGAAATGGATCAAGCCTAAAAAGATTGAGTTTAAGCTCATATGCATGAAATAAAATTTCTTTTAACTTCAGCTGTGACGTCATAAACAAAGATGGCGGCCTGCGCGCAAGTGTTTTTGGTCGAAATATTTCGAGAACCAATTGCTACGGAAACGGTGTTTCCAAAATCAGTAAAACTAGTATGGAAGTGGAACATTACCTGTCAATTAGCATATCTAATAAGGCCCCAAATTTTGATGCTAAATACGGGAAAACAAGAATTATTTTAAGGAAATTTTTATCAAGAGCTCAAAAGAATAAAATTTAAATTTAGCTGCAAAATAGGCTACAACACAAAAACATTCAATACTTGTAGCTTCCACGTTTTTATGCAACTGCACTAAATTAACTGCATAAAAATTCTCCTGATATATATTATGCCCGTACTAACATATGCCGGCTGTTAATTGGTAGGCTACCGTGGGTAATACGAATTACACTAGTCATTGTGATTTTGAACTTAATTTTTGAAGAGCGACCCTTTCACGAATAAGTTAATAACCCTTAATTTTCAGTCATATGAAAGAAAAAGATTATTACTCCTGGCCAAAATTCTCGTTTTAACTGTAAAAATTTTATTCATCAATGCACAATGACTGGTTAATATACTTTAAAGACACAGTGCATGTAATCTGCTGAGCGATGCGACCCTAACCATAATCCTTGCGAGAAAAGCAGGTTTAAGATTTTATACGTGCGTATGGTGATAGCTGTTTTCAGTGTTTTGTGCGTAAAACACTATAGTCTGTACAGTCACTACGCGTGTATTTATTTCGCTTTTAGATAATTTTCAAAAACTCATTAATAATTCATGAAGCAATTATCCAATCTTGAGTAAGAAATTAGTCACGTGCATACGTCTTTATACCAGCTAAAGAACACTTTAACAAAAGATCATTGTTATACAAATTATATAAAGATTTTTATATAAAGATTTTTATATAAAGATTTTTATATAAAGATTTTTATATAAAGATTTTTATATAAAGATTTGACTTATTATGCAAATGTTTTTGAAGTCATTTAAAAAACTTGCAGGTCGTGTTTTATTAGCTAGGTCTAAAGTCACTCGCGCTGCGCGCTCGTGGCTTTAAACCTAATAAAACACTCCTGCTCGTTTTTTAAATAGTACATTAAATAGACTAAACGTGATGTTTTCTACAAAGGTGAGGAAATGCATGGTGTTTGACATTTGCAGAAATCTCAAGTTCGTGTGGCCCTGGGGATTGGCCCACCCGAGGTTTGGAAGCCTGTGTTAGTAGCTTGGATTTAGGCACTTATATAGGGTTATGCAGATTGTTGGTTTTGGGTTAGTGTATGATATATACTGAGGTTTTAATCCATAATTTAACATATATTAGCTTACTCTGGTTCAGTTTTCGAGAATAATAACCATCGAATTCGTCCAGTAACGTATTCAACAAATAAAATATCGCAAAAATGCCGGGACTGTCAGCCATGTAGTAGAACGAAGTAGAAGCAAGAAAAATTCGAACATAATCTGGTGAAAAGAAAAAAGTCAGTTCATCAGTTATCGTTGCAACTACGACTATAATACATTTACTATTAGCATGACAAAATTACTGGATGCTGATTGGTTGAGAGGAGTACAATTATTTCATCTAATCATTGTACTGCAGTACAATTAATGATTTCCCAAAACAAACAGAATGGCGGGAAGGTATTTCAACACAAATGAAATTGCCCTAGAGGAACTTATATTATAGCAAAAAGGACTAAATGAAAATACGAACAAAAAACACCAAATTTTGGTTGAAAGTTTGGCAGGTCCCAGGACTGATCTTTCGCAAAAGAATATGATGTTGACATTGAGGAAACGTTTCAAAAGCGCTACTTGACGCCAGGGACGTCGCTACACCCCCCCCCCCCCCCAATATTTTGTATCAAATTAAAATGGAACATATCTGATCGAAATAGTTGGCCGCCACTTGTTGGTTTATCAAATTAGTTTACATGGTCAACTAACGAGTACAGTACTCAAAAGCGCAAAGAAAAACAAGTATTTTGACTCGCGCGAACTTCACCTTGTATAAAACCACCACTTCACACTCATTCAGTTTTTCCATCACAAATTTGATGGTGTCAAGCATTTGGAAAGTTGGTCAAAATGTTCGCCAAAACCTGGTCAAAATATATGTACGTTTTTCAGTCAGTCATGATTTGCGTTCTCATCCCCTACCCGATTAAAAATTGGGTAGGGGTAAAAAAATGTTTTATATAGATAGAATCTACTCAACTTTGTTCTAATACACAGCCCTATGTGGTTATGGCTACGTTTGCACTATACCGGATTTCCGTGTAGAGGCGCGAAAAAGCACCTATCCGATACGGAATGTACATCTTTCAGTGTCTGACTAAAACAAAATCTCTCCGTTGCAATAATTCGTCTGAAAGTAGCGTTCCTAAAAAGTACGAATAGGTGTTTTTAATGTTGCTACGGAAGGCTATCTGGTACAAGTGTAAATGTAACCTATATCTCCTACAGAAATAAATTAGTATTCTGAAATCCATATTAACACTGTAAAAAAGTGATTTATTACAACGCAGGATATGCCGTTTCAGAGATACAAAATTCATAATTTTTTTCGGGGAAGCATTCTTCCCCCCTCCCACCACCACCATCCCCTGGAATGGTGACTCACAAATTATTAGTCAAGTGCCCCTCGGCTCCCTGAATTAAATCGTGGGACGGTGGGAGCGCCAGGCACTGAAAGTTGGGCGAGAACAGAAAAGCGTAGGAGTTGGTCTTGGCACTAAGTAGTGCTCTTCTCATTAGAGTATTAGGAATAGGTAAGAAGATGATTTCTTATGAAATTTGGTAATTTTTTTCATTTCTAGCTTAATCCCCTTACTATGAGCACGCCCCATTCCCGCGGAATTCATATTTTTAGCGGGATCACGTGACATAAGCCGCGTTTACACTACGCTCGATTTTTGGTATCGTACCACTTTTTTGGTTCTTGGACTATCTAAATAGGTAGTCCAAGAACCAAAAAAGTGGTACGGGTACCAATTTTATCCGTGCCGTACCAAAAATTGAGCGTAGGGTAAACGGGGCTATAAACACATTGTGACAGAATAGGTTCAAGTAGTGGTTATTGGTGGCTTTCAAGCACTCCCACCTGACTTTAACACAAAAACAGATAGAGGGTATGTAATGAGATTCTAATGACATTCTTTTGTGTAAATGCCTTCCACAATCGATTTTATGATAAATTTAATACATCATTACACAACGCAATAAACTACAAAACAAACAAGCGAGTGTAGAATCGAGAACAGGTCAGCATAAGACAATAAACAGCACTCTTCCTTCGGACTCTAGCTATTTTGATTATCTTCGACTATGTAATTGTTTTTGATAAGAAAGCATCTGACATTACCGAATCACACACTGTGACAGACACAATAGACGATTGAGACGCAGATTCAATCTAAAGCCCAGGCAAACAAGGATGGGAGTTGATGAGAGTTGGCAGTCACGTATTGTTACGGGGGACATTTAAATCAAAATTTAAAGCTCTAGATTAACAAAATAAAGCTTGGATGAGTGTTCCAGCTATGTTCCTGCATACATATGTGAATCACTAAAAACAGCTATATAATCAAGTATCATTCACCTCATCATGCACTTTCATTCATCCTCACCAGCTTGTTCATGTTCAGATACCACCGTTTGAAACTACTATATGGTCAAGGTCGTCAATATATAACACGAGAAATTCTTTAATTTGTATAAATCTTTGATCTAAATAGGTAGTCCAAGAACCAAAAAAGTGGTACGGGTACCAATTTTATCCGTGCCGTACCAAAAATTGAGCCTAGGGTAAACGGGGCTATAAACACATTGTGACAGAATAGGTTCAAGTAGTGGTTATTGGTGGCTTTCAAGCACTCCCACCTGACTTTAACACAAAAACAGATAGAGGGTATGTAATGAGATTCTAATGACATTCTTTTGTGTAAATGCCTTCCACAAGCGATTTTATGAAATTTAATACATCATTACACAACGCAATAAAACTACAAAACAAACAAGCGAGTGTAGAATCGAGAACAGGCCAGCATAAGACAATAAACAGCACTCTTCCTTCGGACTCTAGCTATTTTGATTATCTTCGACTATGTAATTGTTTTTGATAAGAAAGCATCTGACCATTACCGAATCACACACTGTGACAGACACAATAGACGATTGAGACGCAGATTCAATCTAAAGCGGTCTAAATCCCAGGCAAACAAGGATGGGAGTTGATGAGAGTTGGCAGTCACGTATTGTTACGGGGGACATTTAAATCAAAATTTAAAGCTCTAGATTAACAAAATAAAGCTTGGATGAGTGTTCCAGCTATGTTCCTGCATACATATGTGAATCACTAAAAACAGCTATATAACCAAGTATCATTCACCTCATCATGCACCGCTTTCATTCATCCTCACCAGCTTGTTCATGTTCAAATACCACCGTTTGAAACTACTATATGGTCAAGGTCGTCAATATATAACACGAGAAATTCTTTAATTTGTATAAATCTTATCAGTCAATGGACAAAGATCAAACTATGTTGAACATTCACTCTAATCTCGAGCAAAGGAGTTGATAATCATATGTGAAATTAACTGTCGTATTCAAGTGAGCGATCTCTTTATTCCATGCACTGCATATACGAAGATCCGGCCTGAGGTTATGAAACTTGTTGGCTTACTCAACATCGTTCGCGTATTGGCGTCATGGCGTGAGATAATGTCTAGTTTGGCATAGGTTAATTTGTCCTCAAAAGTGTTTTTTTTAATATCGGGGTGATCAATGGCAAATGTTGGCGTATGTCCGCCCCCCGGCGTATAGTTTACATGGAGTACATCCTGGCAAGTCATTGTCAGTAATTTCGACAGTCAGTGTCGATTGATTTTAATATACTGACACACAAAAGATTAGGTAGTTGTGCTCTCCTCGGCTATCAGCAGCACATCATACAGTCATAATAGCATCATATTCACCACAAGTAGCCATAATTCATCCTTTATATAATTAATTAACTTACCTATCAAGTTAGGAACGAATAAATACACGTTTTCAGTCATTCTTGTACAAATTCTGAAACAAAACCCGCAGCATTCAACTTGAACAACGCAAGAGCTATGACTTGTATAGTTGTATTGAATTGTATCTAATCGCTGACATGCAATGAATAAATTAATTTTCTCATTTATAAAGGACTTTCAACGTTAAACTCTAAGCTCGAAAAGTGCAATGGGAACGCTCTCCATGCATCGTAAATCTGGACCGTATGCACAAGGATTTTGAGAATTTCTGACTAAATACGACAAACACTGCGTGTTCCCATTGTCCTTTTCGTGCTTAGAGTCTAAGGTTAAAAGTTTAAAGCAGCCTTAGAGTTTCGAAGGACAACTGACCCTTTCAACTCGCCGGTCTCGCCCTACTTAAAACGTTTTGCTTGACTTCCTTTGTCAGTAGATTATTTAATCTTTACACATATATAGTCATACTTCTATGACTTGCAGCTAATTACGATGCTGCACAATTTGTGTGGACAGCTTGCTATTTTGTATCTCGCGAATGCCGTACGCTACCATTTTTATATTGCCCTATTAAAGGGTACTGCTTATATAAGCGATACTGACTGTTATCTATATTTTGTATATTTTCTCAGTACTGTATCGTTAGCCCTGCTGCCAACGTAATACTTTAACGCTGTGCGGGCATTTATCTTTAATCTTTCTTGTGTGTTCTATCAGTACCTGTCAAGTACTGTACATGTTGTTAGCCCTGCTTCGACCGTGTTGCCATAAAGCAGTGCGGCTGTTATATCTTTTGTGTATTTTATTTTCAATACTGTCTTGTTAGCCCTGCTAACGTATTGCTGTACAGCTATAGGAGTCGGAGTAAATAACAACCATTCGGAATACTGGTCCCCAGTACTTGTCCCATTACTTATCAGTTTTACACCAATGAATGTAACGAATTAAATGTTGGAGGAGGGATCCAAGTTTTCTAGATGAAGGTGGGGTGCGTCTTGAAAATAAAGGTCTTAAAATTGGGGGCGGCTCTAAAAATGTTCAATATTTGGTATTTATCACCCC